TAGGACGAAAGGAAGAAGGGTCGGAAAGGTCCTTATCGGGCTTAGGGATCATAGTAATTATTGCGGACTTCCACCCGAGCGGGACGTGTCCTAGGCGGAGACAGGCGTTGTAGATGAGATTGAGAAAGTGAAGAGCACGGGAGGAGAGATGTTTAATGCTATTAACGAGAATATTATCGGGCCAGGGGCTTTATTAGGGGAAACTTTAATCGCGGCCTCGATCTCATCGAGCGTTATTTCGTAAGTAAGAGCTTTCTGTGAGGGAGAGAGATTCTCAGGTTTAGAGGAGAGGTCTAGGAGAGAGAAGTTACAGATTTTCTTTTTGAGATCGAGGCATACCTCTGGGGGGCGACGCCCTAGGGAGCTGGGGGAATCAGTCATAGCTTCCAGCAGAGTAGATGCAAAAACGGAGGCTTTGCTCTCATCACTGCAGTGAGTCCCGCCGTCGAATTTCAGGGGTCTACTATTGCTGTTTCTAGGGTTGCCAACCCATTTAAATAACTTCCAAAAATTAGCTGGGTCCTCTTTGCTTTTTAATTGCTCGCAAAAATCACACCAGTACTGATCGCTCTCGATCTTAATTTAGCTGGATCCTCTTCGCTATTTAATTGCTCGCAAAAATCACACCAGTACTGATCGCTCTCGATCTTAATTAGGGCTTTAATCTCATGATTAAGCTTATTGATTAATGGCTTCAGGGTGGGGTCTTTATTGCGATAAAATAAACGACGGAGTTTCCTCCGCTCTTTAATTTTATTGAGGGTTTCTACAGAGAGATTGTAAGGCTTATGGGAGGGAGTCGTCTTGGGGACGGCAATATCCTGGGCGATTTGAATCGCTTCAGTGATGAGAGTGACTGCTTCCTCGAGTTGGGGGACGGTCTCTAAAGGAAGAGAATGAGGGAGGAGGGTCTCTAACACGTCCTGGAAACTATGCCAGTCGGCGTTACGAAAATCAAAGCGAGGGAGGCTAGTTGAAGGAGGAGGTTCATGGGAGAAGTTACAGTTAATGAGGATGGGTACATGATCGCTCCCTACGTCTTCTCCTATAGAGAAGTTATGGAAAAAAGGGAGGAACTGTGCATTGCCCAGTGCTAGGTCAATTCTGTACGAATTTCCTAGTCCTGGACAGTGGTGGGTGGGGCTGTCGTCATTTAAAATAGAGAAGCTGCTGGAGGCTATGAAGTCGCTGAGTATGTTACCAGTCGTATTTGGTTCCGAGCAGAAAGAGAGATCAGGAGAGTGGGCGTTTAGATCGCCTAGGAGAAGCGAAGGGCCGTTGATTTGGTTGATGAAGTCAAGATCGGAAGGGGAAGGAGGGAAATTAGGAGGAAAATAAGCATGAAAGACAGAGAGAGTTGTTAGGGAAAAACGAATTTTAACTCCAATTATCTCCGAGTCAGTTTGCCAAGAGCGGCTAATTAATTCTGAGTCCAGGTTACTGAGAATGTAAACTGCTGAACCCCCACAGTACGGCCTTTTCTGAAATGAAGGTTTGTGACAGTAGTAATTCCTAATTAGAGGTGGCTTTATACACTTGAGTTCGCTAAGACAGATAATGGTGGGATTAGTTTGCTCTATGTATTGCAGGATTTCAGGGCGTTTGCTTCGGAAGCCGTTACAGTTAAGGTGAAGTAGAGTAACTGTATGTCCGATCTGGTTTGCGCTGGGGTTGTCTTGCCCGCGTGACTCTACTTCCCTAGGAGTGGTGTATCATTACCTCGCACTCAACTCCTAAACAGCTGTTCATGAGCTACCGGGGAGGACATCCCTGAATTCCGCCATACAGACGGTACATGAGGACCCATCCTCTTTCTCAAACATTCCAAATAGGACATAGTGGCAGTCACCGGTTTGTGCGAATGAGTTACGCGGCGCTAGACGTGCCATCTCCCGTCAACAAGAGAAAATACACTCAATCGGGACTCTGGACTATGGATTAAAGCAAAAAAAAGTACACTATATACAATATCGTGACAGTATAATAGGTCCCTTCTTGTTTGTGTGCACCGCATATCCTGTCTTTAAAAAATAAAATCGATAACGAATGATGTGAAGCTTTTATGCTTCGATCTCCCGAAGTACGTAAAAGAAATGTTCAGCAAAAGTTCCTATGAAAGTACTTGTCTCACAATGCAAAACTGTGAACCTTCTCAGAGTCACCTTCTATCGAACACAGAGATAAACTAGAGAGTACCAGCCCAGATACAGATCTGGCATTCCACTGTCAAGAGTCAAGAGTCAAGAGAGTTAGTGATATCAAGAGGCGATTTCGCCCATTTCGATATCACGTTGACTATGGATTAAAGCAAAAAAAAAAGTACACTATATACAATATCGTGACAATATTGTAACTGGTTGTATCAGAATTCCCATGTCAGTTCAAGGCCTATGGGCAGGGATCCAGATGATTTTAAAATTCATTTCCAGAACCAGTGCCATTCTGTATCGGCGCTCTTCTGAAATTCCAGCAATTTTCAAACGCAATCCAGCTTCCATCTAGGAATGCAGCAAATTCTAGCAGGAGCTCTCCTGCTTCCAGCTGGGAATGCAGCAATTTCCAGCGAGAAATTTCCTTCATCCAGCTGGAGATATTATGGTTTATGTCTGGAAAATCCCAGCTTCATCCAGCAGGAAAAGTCCAGCTAGAAATAGCATACCAATTTACGACCCGCACCAACTGGAAATCCAGTTGTAGGACTGCTGGATTTTTCCAGCTGGATTGATTGTTGTTTATAGCAGGAATTTTTTCCTGGGTTGAAAACCCCTCGTTCATAATCTACTGCGGAGAATTTTCAAGGTTTCACCATTAAATATTCTAGTTTTTTTTTTTACAGTGTGGTGGGAGAAAATGAAGACTAGATAAATGGACGGGAACCCGGTGCTTCTGTTTCCTCTCATTCTCTCCCGTATATATACAGACAAGCCATAACTGATACTGCACGACGTAGTGATCTGGAACCCATTGCCTCCGTCGCCTCTCATTCATCGTGTCTCGTTGCTTCCGTGTAGTCCTCGTGTGACTCGTCTCCGCGATCCGGCCGGAACGTTAGGGTTAGTCCCCGATGCGAAATTTTCTTTCCTAGATTCGTCGTTCCTCGGCGTCCATGGATCGTTCGGATCTGATGGAGATGATGCCGAACGAGAAAAAGGAGAGCGAAGATCGGCCGGGGAACGAGGCGAAGCGAGGAGAGAGGAACCGGTTGGAACGCCCCACGCGCCAGACCAAACCGGGGCAAAACGGAACTTCGAATCGCGCAGACGACCAGGAATCCGCGAGGGAGATCCCCGACGCCCTGAACGATCCCGAGACCGGGGAGAAGATGAGAGACTCCGAGAGGAGCGAGAGCGGGTCGGCACCGCCGCACGGCAAGTACCGACTGCTGCTGAGATCCGTGATGACCTGCCTCTCCTCGAACGCCGTCCTCTGCGCCCTCGTGGCCGGGTACGGACTCCTGGGTGCCTTCGTCTTCCAGACCCTGGAGGCGGAGTACGAGGTGGTCGTCCGCGAACGGGGGGCCCGGCTTCGCTCGCAGACGCTCGCCTCCATGTATAACGCCACCGGTAAGTGCGTCTCTTGCCTCCACCGACCACTCTCTTGCTCGCGGTCGTATGAGATTAGCGGATAAACGACCGACGATGAGCTTTGGAGAGGCGGGAAGCATCAAATCTCTGGAAAAGTTTTGAATGTAAAAAAAAATTTAAATAAGAGTTTACATCGATGGCGTAAAATTTGAAAGCTGCTATCGGACGAGAAAGCGGCCTATTACTTCCCAAAGTCTGACTCTGAAAGTCTGACTGAAAGTAAAAGAGAAGAGTCGAAGAGAACTAAAAGGGAGTAAAATGCAGTGAACTATGGATACTCGGGGGTAAAAATGGAAAAGCGCCGCGAGAAATGATGGAATCGGTGTCTAATAGCCCAGATGAACCTGCTGAAGGAAGGAAACTGGACGGCGGAGATGACCGTGCTCCTACGGCAGTACGAGGAGGCGCTCCTCACGACGGCCTCGCGGGAGGGATTCGACGGGCTGGACCCCGACAGCGACGATCGCAAGTGGAGCTTCTCCGCCGCCCTCTTCTTCTCCGTCGCCGTCATGACCACCATCGGTTGGTTCCACGGAAAATCCATCTAATGTCGTTCTGTCCCGTCGAGACGATTCTTCGTCGGTCGGACCGAATCGGACGACGCAGTTCCGGATCGCTCGTCCAAAGGACGAACGAGTGACCGCCGCCGCTTTTTCTCGTCTTTCGCATGGAAGTTACGTACGAGTACGCACGTACGCCTACGTAACTTTCGAGGGGGCGTCGAAAGTGACGAGACTTTTGCTCCTGCTGCGACGCTTTTGCCCCTTCGACCCTTAGAGCAAGCCGCAAGGCATGACCTGGACGCGTCGACGCGTGGAGGACGACGCGATCGCGTCGTCCTCCACGCGGTCATCCTTCTCCATCTCGTAGCGCAATCGGATGCCGGCCGCATCGTGGCTGTCCCTCCCGGCACCCGCCGTACTCCCTCGGACCTCGTTCTGAGTCCTTTTCCACTCGTCCGCGCCTCGAAGACGGAAGGGGGGAGGGCGGAAGAGTGCACGGCCGTCGGGCGGTGGGTGCACGGGCTGCCGCAGGACTCGTTCGTGTCGGTCGTCGACGATGCGACCGTTCCGGTGCAAGAAACCCGTAACGAGACGCCCGTGCCCCTCTGCAGACCGCAAGTCGGAGGGCCGAAGTGCTCTTACGGGTGCGATGGCATCGTCGCCTCTGGCTGCGACCGAATACACGGTCTTGGCTTTTTCCTCCTCCCTGCTCACCTGCTCACTTGCTCACCGATTTCTGGGTTCTGAGAAGCAAAGTGCCGCGATGGGAGCAAAAGTCTCGTCACCTTCCCCTCGTACGTGACGGATGTAGCAAAATGACGTACTCGCTCGTTTGTAGTGATGTATTTCGTTCCTGATAGACATCACCATCACCATTCCTCATTCCGTGAACGTTGCATGTGTGAAATAGTGTTACTGAAGTGGTTTTAGATACGCGGTACATCGTACGGGATGGGTAGTAAGGGCTTCCATGCACATTTCGAATGGACAAACTCGATGAAGCGTTCGGTTGAAGCAGGCCTCTGAGTGCGTTCTGATGCCCCTGAGCGCGTTCTGATGCCCCCGATCCTGGGCAACGGACTCTAGCTCGGCAGGTGGCACGCCGAGCGAAGATTGACTTAGCTTGACGACATCGTATTTTTGCCGCACATGCAGCGGCATATTTGCTCGTATGAGGGGTATACGTAAACGAAGTCTCCCGAGAGCGCATACTTAAATGAGCTCACGGGAAGACAAGTGAATAAAAGGAGCGCGTACCCGAATCGCTTCTTCGGATCGCACAGTATCGGCCGAACCGGTGGAAATGCGCCCTTGTATTCTACGGGGTCTCCCGCCTCGCCTTCCACTCCTTCCAAACTTTTTTTTTAATTTATCGATCCGTATTTGCCAGGCCGGGCTTGGCAACCGGTGACAATTAATTTGGACGACATATGACAGTAATGGAAATCAGCAGACCGAACGAAGAGTAACGAGGTGAGGAGTAAAGGAGAAATGGTCGACCTTTCTTCCAGTTCCAATAAATTTGATAAATTTAATAAATTTGACGCGATCCCAGAGCCCATGAAAGGAGGAGCATGCACTTTTCACCGTCTTTCAACGTCTCGCCGAGGAGAGTCCGTCTTTTTTCGTGGGGTTGTCTGTGAGGCGATGGACTGGCAAAACATGCGCACGCGGGGGTCGCTGCCTCCCCCCCCCCCCCCCCCCTCCCCCCCCTCGATACTAGAAACCGTGGAAGCTCTTCGAGGAGCATCTGGTCGTCGCGGAGGCTGCGATCGTCTTGCCTTGGAAATGTTGGATTTCCGGGACCGACAGACCGCAGCCTCCGTTTTGGGGTTCGAGCCTCGTGCGACCGGGCGTCAATGAGTTCGGGCAAATCGCGATGGGCGAGTTCGTTCCAGAAGAGAGTGGCGGCGAAGGAGCGAGTAGACGGGAACTCGAAAAGGAATAGTTTCCTGGCAACCTCGAACGATAGTTTCCATAGAATTTTCGGATTTTATTTGAATTGTTTGAAAATGGGGGGAAGTCGTCGAGGAATCGACAAAAAACCTCGCTTGCACGCGTTCACGGTCGACGATTCGATGAGGGAATGCCTCGACGAGGGCCGGGGCCTTGCAACGCCCCTCGTGAATGGGTCGTCGGGTCCTCCGTTCTGCATAAATAATTAACGAACAGAATGAACGATGAGAGTTTGAGGATTCGACCGGTGAGTCGAAGGCTTTCCGAAAGTCTCTAAAGACGGCGTGGAATGCGGAATGCGATCGCTGGAGTTCCCATTTTCGAATCGTTCCCGAGGATCGAGCGTGCAAACGCGTTTCCTCGACTCTTAATCGGCGAAGAGGAAGAAGCCGTTCTTCGTGCCGCAGGATCTCTCGACGGCGAGGAACGTCATGACGTTCCGCTCGACATTTTTAGGCACTCTTTTCGAGTTTGAAAGGTCAGGCGGCGGAAGTGGGACTTTCCCGAGTCCGAGTCCGAGGTACTTAAACTCGTACGTCTGTTCCTGTGGGGTCCTCGTGAGTCACATCGGACCGAATTTCTTTCGAGAACCACGACCCGGGTTCTGCAATCGCCTCGTTTCGTTCCGGCCGCAACGGATTCGGAGTCGTTCCGATCGGACGAGCTCGAAAGCACGGAGAGAGACGGAAGGCTTCGTTGGCAAAGAGAAGTATCCTCACCGCTTAGCTCGGCGATCCTCACCGCTTAGCTCGGTGATCCTCACCGCTTAGCTCAGCGATCTTCACCTCGATGCCAGCGTGGTCGAGCTCCCTCCGGCCCAGGCTGCGCGATGGAATCCCGTCCGTGCGCACGAGGAACAGGAAAGGAGAAAGAACCCAGCCCTGACGGAAAGCGGAATGCGCCGGGAGAATCCCTCGTTCCCTCGTCCGTTCCCGCACCGTCTAAGGACCGAATGCCCCGCTCGCCGGTCGTGTGTTTCCCGAGCTTCCATCGAAGCACGGTGTCCAAGGTCTTCTAGAAGTCCACGGAGCAGTTGCCGACGACTAAAAAATACTAATACTAACGTAAATACTCGCGAAGAATCGCCGCTCCTCTCTCCGTCCATTCGATCCTCGCGAGATGAATCCCATCGAAGGCTCTTTCGACGACTTTCGAGGTCCAGTGCTTCGGGTTCGAGCTCTGCTAAACCGATGGCTCGCGTCGGAGCAACATTCGGTCGTCGGACGATCCGCAATTTTATGCCCTTTAGAAATTGCCGAAAGAGGCGGAAAAGACGCAGGGAATATGTTGAGCATTTCGATGATCGCGTTTCGCTTTCACCACTGGATGTTCGGAGAGGAAAATCGTTTCTCGGATGAATACTCGCGACCTCGCCCTCTCCGGAAGGTAGAGCTGACCGTGGTTTCGTAAACAAATTTATCTTGCGTTCGTGAAATGTTTGACCTTGGACTCTATTGACAGTCGTTGCGAAGGCCGATCCCGATTGAAGTCGTGCCCGCCTCGAGGTAAACGTCGTGCGATGATTTGATATCCTGGGAGCGGAGACCCATTTACACTTCCGCGTCGATCGCGTTCTCTCTCGGTGCTTTCTCACGGGGCCTTGGCCGTTAAGAAGATCTTCATCTCGTGTTCTCGAGGCAAATCCGACGTAGTGCTACGTACATTTTCGGGGGCCGGAACGGGTGGAGAAGGTAAAGCATGGGTCTGGCTCTCGAGCGATGGGCGATGCGGAATCGAGATCGACGATCTCGTCGGCACTGCTTCTGCAGGTTTGCGGCAACTCTTGCGAACCGTGGTTGCCGAATCGAAAGTTTCCAAGGAGGCAAAGCTCTCGGTTTTCGAGAGCGACCGTCTCTCCACTTCCACCTTCACCTATGGCCGTGGACTTTGGCTCGTGATCGAAAGAATGAGGATCGCAGATACAAACTGACGAAGCGAAGATCCCGTAAAATGTTTAAACGTCCTACCGATCTTTAAGAAGGGCGAAAAGAGTGATCCAGGAAATTACAGACCGGTTAGTCTCACGAGTGTCCCAGGGAAGATCATGGAGAGCATACTAAGGGACCATCTCTTGGATTTCCTCGAAGGAAAAGCGCTCATTCGGGACTCTCAACGCGGCTTTAGGAGGCGTCAAAATTGTCTCATAAAATTTACTCGAATTATACGACTGAGCGACAGAAGAGAGGGATGAAGGGTATCCCGTGCACATGGTCTGTTTAGACTTCGGGAATTCGTTAGATACCGTTCCTCACAAGAGGTTGCGGGTTAAACTGGAGGCGAACGGGATCCAGGGTACTAGGACGAGCGAGTGGATCAGTAGCTGGTTGTGATGAAGAGAGCAACGGGTGATGATAAATGGGGAAGCGTCGAAGTAGGTCGGAGTCGCAAGCGGTGTCCCTCAAGGCGAGATCCTTGGACCGCTTCTGTTTTTGGTCTACATAAATGATTTGGATCTCGGCGTAGGGGGTAAGATGTGTAAATTTGCCGACGACACCAAGATAGATTTTACCGTAAGGGGGGAGGCGGATTGGGCTAGAGCCGAGCGAGATTTAAGCCTTTTGGACGAGTGGAGCAAGAAATGTCTCATGAGGTTTAAACAAGTTTCAATTAAGGTTTGAATATTTCAATTAGCCATACTCATATGTTTACACTGAATTTGGCCCTTATATTGCGTATTTAGGTGACTCATGGCAGTTATTTTCCAAATGTGCCCAAATCACAAAGAAAATTCATGTGAAATTGTAAAGCGTCCCCTTGTTCGAGGAAAAATACATCCGACCGCAGCAATTTCTGTACAAGCCCTCCTCCGGCATGCAGACAATCGAGGTACAGCATGGCATGCCTTTGTCAAGTCCATCTTGTTTTAAGGAAATTTCAAAGCGTGAAGCCACCTGTCAGGCGTTTTCATTGCCAAGACTATCTTTAAGAAAAAACTAGATGCTTTCATGGACAGGCAAAAAGGTGGGAGGCAATGTTGACGTTAGGTACTAGACAGTAAGCAACTAGGAAAGTCAAAAAACAAAAACAAAAAAAAAACAAAATAAAACAAAAACATAAAAAAATATTTAGCTTTAAGAGGGTTAGGCCTACCCTAAAATTAAGGTACGCAAGACCTCGACTCGTGATATCGAAATGTGTGAAATAACCTCTTCATATCACTATCTTGAATCTTGAAATGAGACCAGGATATGCAAGAACCGCACGGTCGAGACATCTCAAATTCGGCGGTTCCGATAATAGTCTCCCACTTGCTCCTTCCCGCGTGTCAGACTCCCTAAGGGAGGCCCAGGACGACCGGCAGAAGGCGAGTCGGTCTGCCCTGTTTTTTCTTCTTCACTCTCAGCGCGCCACCCGGGAAGTAAGTTGCTCAGAATCGGGCCATCGAAGGACGCTCAGAAGCCTGCTTCGACCTTATTAAGTCGGGGTGAGTTGTATGTAAGTTATTCGGAATCGGTGTGCATTTCGTTCCCCGGCTCTGGATATCACTCTACATTCATCATTGTTTAAAAATTCTTCGAGTTTTCGTGTGTGTCAGAGTGTTATGCAAGCGGTGAAGGTAAATTCGCCTGGGCGGTCTTCGTTCACGTGGACGTCTTTTAAAAGCATCGCTCGCACGCTACGAGATGAAACCCGCGGCTCTTATCCCAATCCCTCCCCCCTCCATGATTCTCATTTCACTAATTAATTTAGTATTGGAGTGAGATACGAGTCGAGTGTCGGTTTTCACGGTTCCTTGTCCGTCGGCAGGGTACAGTCACGTGAACCCCCACACGGCACGCGGAAAGGTGGTGACGATGGTGTACGCAGGGTTCGGGATCCCCCTCACGCTCTTCTGCGTGACGAAAGTCGCCACGACCCTGGCCGACGCCCTCTTCTCGGCCTACGGAAGATGCGAGCGCCGCCGCGCGGCTTCTCGGAAGGAGCAGCGACACGCCGCGGTGGACGCGACGGGCGAGGAGGCGAAGGCACCGAAGAGGTTCCCCGTCTCGCTCGTCCTCTTCCTCTTGCTGGGTTATGCGTGCGGGGGGGCGCTGCTCTTCTCCCTCTGGGAAGGATGGCTGTTCATCGATGGGCTCTACTTCTGCTTCGACACGCTGTCCACGATCGGGTTCGGGGACATTCTTCCTGGGCGGGCCGTTTCGCACGAGGTCACCTTCGTGGAGCAAGCCAAGATCGTCGCGGGTTGCCTGTATCTGCTGTTCGGGCTCACCATGGTCGTCATGAGCTTCGAACTCGTGCAGGCCGAGGTCAATGCCAAGGTCAAGGAATTGGGGGCCTTTATTGGCTTCGTCGACGAGGAAAAGCGGGAAAGTCGATCGGATAAAAAATGAATTTTTTTTTAAAGCCAGTTTTCGTGTCATCGTAGTCTACAGATTCAGCCAGTCAGAAACGAGTGATCGATCTCGGCCGAGAGATCACACTGATGATCACAACTTCGTTGCTGAAAGCTGGCTTTGCACTTCACTCATACAATATCGAGTATTGTACTTTTGCTTGGGTTTCAACGGTGAAGATTAACTGCATAATCGCGACTTGAGGGAACCGAAGTAATCCACCGTGGTCTTCACTAGTTTTTGAATCGGCTGAAAGCTGATGAGGGGATTCAACATTTATTTCCATTTGTTCCGAATAATGTTTTCCAAGTGATTTGCCACTTTCCTGTGATCGTAATTCACTCTTTCCTAATAAAAAAAATAAAAAATAATAATAAAGATCCATGTTGAATTTGTATGCATTTGAACCTATGTTTGGGTGTCTCCGTCATCTTTTCTTCGGGCATCCAGCAAGAAATCAAATTCTAAGAATCAAGCCGAAATGTTATACAGGTAATTTGCAATGGAATGTTCTTGACTGGAAGCATGCAGGCAAACAGCAGGCTCGGTTCCGAGAACTAGAAGACCCCATTGCATGTACACATACTCGCGTACTCGCGGCCCTCCGGAAGTTTTGGATCGAAACCGATGAAGCTTGGTCAACTTTGTCAACTTGAACTAACTGATTTCTGGAGGCATCTTATGTATTAATCGGCAAGTGTCCGTACGTCTGAAACGCTCTGCGTAGCCAAGCCGAGGTTTGTCTGTCTGTCCAGCACGGGTCGACTTTTCCTCACTCTACCCGACGGGCTCGAATCTAATCTCGGCCTGGGCCCGACCCGAAACCCCCGACATAGCTAAACCCGATACTTATGTGAGTAGGACTTACTCTCCCCGACACGGTCCGTATCGGGGAGATCCGACCGACCCGCAAGCCCGCTTATGCCTCTGAGCGGGTTTGGACTAGCCCTGCTGGAGAGATCCTGCGCATGCGACGCAATCACATCAGGGATGTCCGTTCCACTATAAAAGCACGAGAAGCCCATTCCTCCGTCAGTAGGTTGAGGAGTAAAATTGGAACAGTGAATTTAGATGGTCAACTTTCTTCGATTAGTTATATATTAATCGGCAAGTGTCCGTCCATATGAAACGCTCTGCGTAGGGCGAGGGCTTCCACCCGGGATTTTCAACTTTCTTTCAATCTCTCGTTCATTTTGACAGGGATCCCGCCTCGAACCTCATCGAAATTCTATCATTTTCGCCTCCCATAACTCGGCGTACGACCATCGCAAGGATAAATTGAGAAGAGCACCACTTCCCTCGCTCTCATCTCTGCACATCCTCCTGATGCATCCTTCCAGGAGTAACGCCGTACCTATGCATCCATCCACATCTGATGACATAGATTATCATGCTGTATCGGCATGACATGCCGTAGTAAGCCACGGACTAGAAACGAATTCTGATTTTCCTGATGCTCATGGACCTAGCCTGGCGCAGAGAGGCCTCTCTAGAGAGGGGGTTTCCAATTTTTACCACTTCCTCTCTACTCTCGGAGCTCCCGATTTCCGCGCCATTGCGCTTTAAGACGGTTCTAGAGAAAAGTGCATCCAACAGACTTCAAGTTCTTATTAGGATTTTTGTCATTAAAGGCATTTAGAAAGTGGAGTGCTCTCACCCCTCGTTCATTGTACGAGGTATGTTAGATGCCTCTGCTTTGTAACGCTGGGCGTCGAGGCAAGCTTGTGTCTTGCTTCGAAATAGTCTGCTTCAATCACATCATTCGCTTTGTGCTCGTCCTTGACTTGGTGTATAATGCTTCACACCACCGTCCTTGCTTCCCACCATCCTTGCCTTGACAATAAACTCTCGCCATGTATTGCCTCAAATGTTCGTCTCAGCTCCACAATGAGGCGGTATTTACTCACCCGATTTTCCCATTCGAAATGCCCGTTCGATGTCCACTTGGTCCGGTAATTGAAGATTCCTTCAGAAAAAGAATCAGATACTGACTCGATGCAATGTCTCGTATCTTCTTATCCAACCATTTTTGGCTTAAACCAGCTCCATCCTCTTCTTTTTCCTCCTCCACGACATCGTTGAGATTCAATATTTGTTCCTTCTTCATTGCCATGACGCTGTCTCGAAAACTGGTGGGCGAGTCGTCAAGTAGATTCACAGTTACAGGAAAAGAAAAAAAGGGCTTTGTGTCAGGGCTTGGTCACCTCTGACACCTTGTGTCAATCATCTAAGCAGTAGTTTTTCTCAAGAGTGCAGATGTCGACGGCTCACAATCTTTGTGCCGTTTGTTCTTCGTATTTGGCTACCAGGTCACTAGGAGCTGTCTAGGCTCTTCTACACGAAACAGTGCCAACCAGCGTCTTTAAATCTTGTCGCAATCAAGGTTGATGGCAACAATGAAACTCTACGAATACTTCTCCCAGCTCGGTAAAGTTTTTGTTGGCCCTTCCCCTGGAAGAGATCGGCTGCCAAGAAACAAGTCGATGTAATCCATGATGAGATACGATGAGATGATGGGAGTCGATACAGTGGATCTATAAGATAGAGACTGGGGTCTCGACGAATGAGGACGAATTACGTGCTCACTTCTAAAGAGGGAATAGAAAGAGAGAGAAGGAAAGAGAGAATAAGAAACTCGGATTCTCGTGTTACGTTCGGCTACATTCCTTTCGAAAACCCGTCATTCCAAAATTCGTAAATTCTTAAAAGGAGTGATGCGATGAATCGGGTGTCACTTTTGTTGCACCTTGCATAGTTTTAATATAGTTAGGTTGTGTGAGGCAAAAGGAAATTGACTTTCGAGAATTGGAGCAGTCGTTCTCCTTCCACAGGGACTTGAAGGAATCTGAGGCTCATATCAGTCTTAGATTAAGAGTCTTGTGAATTTCCATCCGTGGCCGGCCAGAAAGGGACTTTATTGTTTCCAAAGATGGAAAGTCCTCTCCTTGAAAATTTTACATAAGATTTCGTTTTTTTTTATTTTTAAAATTCTATTTGACTGACAGTTTTTAACTGTGGAGTAGTTCGAAGTGGCAGCTTCTCCAAGGTGAATCGAATACGCTCACGACCTCCACTCGCGACGCAACGGTGAGTCGCGAAGGCATTATCTCGCATTTATGTTGGTTTCTTTTATTTTTACCATGCGATCTGGGCTAAGAAGTGCAAGCCGTTCGACTCCGAACCCGCGAACGGAACTGAGATTGGATGGAGTACTTCTCAGTTCCAAAAAAATAGGAGAAAGGCACGTTCTAGGAACCAGGCCTGGCTCGATTCCAAGTCAGACTCCGATCGTTCTCAACGCTCCGGTAGGATCCTTTGCTATGTCAATTGCTACAAATGCTCTTCTTGAAACAACACGATTTTGCAGGTATTCGAAACTGAAATATATGCTAATTTTGTCGTCAGATGGCCCCCTTAAATCACTTTGGACTGTGGGATTAATGAAAACCAATTATTCTGTGCAGATGTACGCGATATGCCTCATTCTTTTCTTTGCTCGTCTCCTTCGTATGCAATTCTTTGTAATGTTGTACTTTCCGATTGAGGAAAACCGACATGTATTGAACGACTTAGAAACCGGTGAATCCTTTATGCCAGGGGTGTCAAACTCAAATCGGTCTGAGGGCCGCATTCCCTACCGTGCAGATGCCTGCGGACCGCACCCATAATTTTCCACTGAAATTTGTGGTGACAGTCTATCAAAGCAGAAATTTCTAAAACACAAGGCGGGCCGGATGAACCACCTCCGGGGGCCGTATGTTTGACACCCCTGATCTAGGCCTAGAAAAGAAAGGGTACAAGAAAAAGAAACCATTTTCTGAAGTCACCTCAATGGCTTGTCAGGTTAAACGCGTCTGCAAACCTACACGGAGACGGTTCGAAACCACGAGAGTCATCGAGGATGTTTGGGAGTGGTAATCTAAGAACAACTGCAAAATCAACGACTGCGTTGCCGCACTCCCTGAGGAAGTGATGAAGTGGGGCAAAAACGAATGTGGGGAAGTAGTAATAATCCCCTCCAATATGCATTAAACCCAGCTTTATGGAATGAAAAGAAAGCAGAGACCGTGGTCCCCCATCCCATCTCCACCCCATCCCCATCCCATCCGAGAAAGCGTCGACCTCATCGGGAGACTCCAGTCACACGGATTCCAGCGATCGCTGGAGGCTGCCATTGCAAGCTTTGAGCACTACACCCGTTCATCTCCGGCAGATGAAAAACCTTAAATTAGGCCAGGCATAGGACATGGTTCACGTCTCCATCCGATATCGACCGTGAGTGTTTATATTCGCCTCTGCATCTCATCGATAGCGAGATGCAGAAGGGCAAATGTAAACACGTCGGTCTCGTACGGATCGGCCGAGCGAGATCACCTCTGTGGCCCTGACGGCGATCGCGATCGAGTTGCGCAATCGAAGAATGAACTAGTTTTATTTTCCCCTGTTCATCAGAGGTTAAATCTGGGAAAAAGCGTCCAGCTCGAAAATGTAATATAGGCACTAGGGCGGAAAGACACCCGAGGCGATGCTGCGCGGTGCGGAGCGTGAGGCGACACCACGCAAACGAATTTCTCCCATAATAGCGGATAGAACGGCGCCTCGTCGTCACGCCGCTTCTCGTATCTTTATACTCAAACGCCTATCACGCATCTTAGAGCCTGATAGCAATCTCCTTCCCAAAGTTTTCTTTTTTTTTCGGGTTCTGTACTTGATGATGATGAAAAAAAAATGCATGCCGTGTTGCCTCTGATGCGTTTAGGCCCTTAAAAGCCTCATGCCCATCGCGACTTTCCAAAATGGATGAAATTGGACCTATCCAGGGGAAAGCTCTTTCCTAGCGACTCGAAATTGAAAGATTTTCTTGACAGATTCAACTTCTTTAGCATCAAGTAGCTTTTTTTTAAAATCAGGATTACGGCTGAGTTAGGGATCGTCCGTGCTCATCCATGCGGATACTTCTTCCTTTTTCTCCATTCATATTTTTATTTCCTCCGGTGAAGTTTTGGGTGGGAAACGAAACTCACCCCACCGGGAAAGGAAATCCAGGGATGAGAGGAAGCAAAATGGAAAGCAAAACCAGACTTCGGACATTTCTGCCAATTAATTCCCGAAGTTAGGAAATTCAACTCTCTCCTTTTGTTTTAAAATCTCAGGCACACTCACGCCAACTTGTCTGGTAGACTTTCACCAAGTCCTTCTCGATATTTCCACTTCGTCGCTGATGAAATTCTTGGATGAAATAAAGAAACCGTTTAATGCCTCGTGGAATTATTTTTGTCCCTCCAGTTACAAAAGACCGGCTTCGAGGAGAGGGAAGACTCGTGAAGCATTCTGCCGAAACTACATCGACTGACGACGAGGAATCAGACGGCTCGACTGCGAATTTCACTGCACATTCTTGAGCTTTCATCGAGACTGAGAGTTTAATCACGAGCGACCAGGCGAACTAATGATCGTCTTTGGTATTCAATTATCACATGCTCTCGAGTTTCACATGTTTCACTTGAATGGAATATTCTGTAATTTGTTGCTTACATAGGTTCCAAATAAAATATGCCAATCCACCTAAAAACACGCATTTCTGCATTATAAAAATCGCAAATCGTAATGACAATTCTGCCAGGATGACACCTTAGGTGTTTTCTTGTAGCTCTCATGCTAAAACTCGAGTTTTTCCTCGTTCCTAGGCCTTTTCTGAATACTTACTCCGCGTGGAAATCTAACTTCACCAATGGAGATGGTCATCATCAAGCTTAAAATCTTTAGTGAGAATTTCCATTGGTAAATCTCCATCGGTAACTACTTCCCAACTTCACCTATTTGTGTATTACAAATGAGTATGCCAAACATGAACACTCCCTTTCTAACAAAAAAGATGCTTGAAATATTATCTCTCGAATGGGCAAAGAAAGTTTGAATGCTTTGCACCCACAGACTGAAACACTAGGGCAGGGCCCAGTATAGCTAAAGCAAAAGAGAGTTTAAAAGCATAATCATAAAGGCATTTTATTTCGTCACCCAGTTTTCTGCACAAGAACATGTCAAATGTGAAGGAAATTGAAGGATGTAGGCACTATGAGAATCACAGTGAGAAGAAAAAATAGATTCAGAGCAAGGCACACTGTTTTGCAATAGGATGATGAGATTCACAGCAATATGGTCAATACATGCTGACTAGAAACACCATAAGGCCAACATCATAAAACGAAGGTATAATAAAGGGAAGCAATCAGATCTGATATGTCCCATTTTTTGTGCCTGAAACAAAATTCTGATTAGGATGGTGACACTATCAGATCCGTGATCCAGTCTCTATTGGTGACAAATCAGAGGGCAAAGGAAAGTGATTAAAAAAAAACCATCAGACCCCAATAAAGAAGAATATGAATCCTTGGGGATTGTGTGGCTCAATTAGAGGAAGGAATAGGGAACACATCCATCAGCTCTCTCTCTCCTATCCTCAGGCTAAACACTTTTGAGTCCATTGATAGACTATTGGATTGAGACAATTGCAAGGCAAAGAATACCATATCATCTTATCAATGAACAATCCACCCATTTTGCATGAAGATGAAAAAAGCACCAAAAAGTAGAATGAACACTTATTTTGGTTACACAAAGTAACAAAATTATGTATTGAGTTCTCTTATGAATTATGAAAAGTGTCAAAGGACAAGAGCCAGTTATTAAACGAAAATTCAAGAGTGTAGCAGGATGGCTTCCTAGCCATCCTGTTTCACTAATCGTAGCAACTTTCGCAAGTTAAACTCTAGATGAATGCAATGACTGAGTATCAATGACTCAGGGAAGCAAACAAAGCAAAAAAGAAATAGAGAGCAAGAGAGTGCAAGCATGCAGATATTGCACTCTGCATATTATGCAAAAATGATGGAAAGAGTGGTCCCATAGGGTAGGAGGAGTAGCAAAATACCCAGCGACATTCCACCCTTCTATCACATGATAAATCCTTTTCAAACATAAAACACAAGTTACTCTGATCAAATGAAATGATGAGGGAAGGAAGAGGAGAGACTATGGACTTGTGATCATATGTCTCAGTTCTGCACTTCCATTAAACTATGATGACTGTGTGGAAAGGAGGGCACAATGCTTGGTGAGTGCCTAGACTGGCACCTGTGCTCTTTGAATCTCCTACATGTGAATGGAGGCAGCAGTGTAGCGAGGGGTGCGACTCCATCTCCATTGAGTTGGTCGATACTGGGGAAAAATCCAAGACAAAGGGAAAAGGGTTAATATATAGAGGCAGAGATATACTAATGACATCCTTGTGACTGTTGTTGCTGTGTGTCTAGAACAGGCTGAGGCAGTTTAAACATGACTCTATGTCTAATCTATTTCAGGGTGATTTAAAACATTACCAATGTACTTTTATTGAAACATAAGCAGCAACAGAAGATTGGAGAAAAAGCCCATCCAAATTTCACTGGAGCCTCCCAAACAGTAAGGCACACAGAACAGGATTTCTTGATATGACCATACACAGCATTTTTGGGGGTGTCGATTTCATTCTGCCCTAACAAGGAACACTACCCAAGTGATAACTTCAGATTTTCACAGAACTTTGGTCATTGAAATGGCTCTCAAAATGAAGTCAAACGGCACCAAAACTTGCAACTGAGAAACAGGTTTAGGCTCATAACTGGCTCTCTCAATTTTCAGTGATACATGATTATTATAGTCATGGCCCTATTTTCTTTGACTATAACTTTCCAAGGGAAAGTCAGATTCAGGTGACATTTGACAGAGAGGTTCTTCAGTGAAGGAGGTTTTATTCCATGCTGCTAGGTGGCGCTGCATGCCAATTGAGTACGATGATGTCGACAGCAGTGCCACCTACCTATTTGCTATGTCATTTTTTAGCTGCTGGAAAAAATTCGTTCAGGCCTATGCATCTCTCTGCCAATTATCAGCTGCATCCAAGAGTTCTTTCAAAAGATATGGTCAAACAAAGTTGGATTTTGACTTAACATTTGATCTTTTTTTGGTCATAACTTTTAAAGGAAAAGTCAGATGCAGCTGATATTTGACAGCAATGTTATTGTGTCCGAGACTTATTCATTCCCTTACCCTACATGTTGACAGGTGGCACTGTGGTGGCATATGCAAAGGTAAGAGATGGTGAATAGGAATTGCCTACAAAAAGGAATACATCTAGCATTCACTTCACTGCCACAAAGAGAAGATGAAACTTTCAGTGAAGTAACATCTCATGTTGATGTGCTCTTACTACATCCCTAGTAAGACATAACATTGAATCAAGATTGATTCATCGTCTGGATGTTGAATTAGCATTGAATCAATGTTGTTTCACTGGTATGTACTACTACGTGTTTTACCAACAAAGGAACTCATAAGCAGAGCCCTCATGCTCCTTCACATTTCACCTTCATGCGTGCAATCACTGCGCCCTCTGTCAATAGGTACAAATATGTGCAGGGCAAGGGAATGAATAGGTCTTAGACACAGTAACATCTCTGTCAAATATCACCTTTCCCTTGGAAAGTTATAGTCAAAGAAAATAGGGCAGTGACTATAATACTCATGTATCACTGAAAATTGAGAGCGCCAGTTATGAGCCTAAACCTGTTTCTCAGCCGCAAGTTTTGGTGCCGTGTGACTTTGTTTTGAGAGCCCTTTCAATGACCAAAGTTTGGTGAAAATCTGAAATTATCACTTGGGTAGTGTTCCTTGTAAGAACATTTCAAGATGAACAAATCTAGTTCAATCTGCAGCTTCTGTCAAGACTACAGATGGGTCAAAAAGATGTCTTTTCAGAAAGCCAAGTCCTATCCAGAAAATAATTCACTCATGTTTTCCCCTTTAAACTTTTTTTCAAAACACAGTGGAGCAATTTAAGGAAAAGTTGTGATTCTATTATTCCACAAGTTGATTGCAGCCCAGAGAAGCAAAAAATTATTGAATTTATTTCTTAAAAATTTAACTTTGCAATGAATTGAACATCATCTTCATCATTTGGATTGAATTTCATCAGTCCCACAATCTGATATGACTTCCAATGCTATATAATGATTAAGCTTATCACTTCTCTAACTGTATTGGTGAGAAATGGTAATTCAGAGCTGCTTCATCATTTTGAATGCAACATTTATACAAGTAAAAACTTTTCTTTGACACATGTGTCTGTTGCCAACACAGGAAGAGACCTTTGGCTTGGCCTCTACAGCCATGGAGGGTACCAAGTAGCAACAAGAGTGTGAGAACTGACCTTGATGAGAAGTTGCCCAGAGGGAGAATGGGGAAATTTGTAGGCATAGAGGACCCAAAGAGCACAAGAAAGGACAAGAAGGGATATGAAGATCCCTATCACTCCAGATGTCGCTATACCTACTGCATGGAATTCAAATACAAGTTCCTTTCATCATCATTATAATGGTTTCTCTCCCTAGTACCATACCAAAGCTCTATACAATCATTAATAATGCATGGCTTCCTGCAAAGCATGCAAGGATGTTGATCTGATTTGCTTCCCACTCCCCAAGGATCAACCCTGGACCTATAACACCCCACCCCAACCTCCTCAATTATCCTAGTCATCTTTCATTGCCTGGTCATAGCCTTACATGAACCACCAACCCTCTCACACTGGTCAGCACAAATGAATGCATCTTCATCACCCAGGTTCACCAACCACTAATCCACAACCAGGCTTCATAGAAGGCAAACTAATAAGGCTAAAAAAAAAAAAAAGAATAATTCAAAGAGGCAATGAGAATTTCTGTAGCTCAGTTCACCTCCCTCCTCCCCAAACTCTTGACTAGTACCCACTGCAATACTGCTAAGGGCTCAATGGCTGTACTACTTACAGCACTGAGCTGCCTGGCCCAAGAATGTCTTTGGAGGAACCCTGCATAATGACCATTAGGGCACTGGTCAAGAAATTTTGAGTGCTCAAAGAATGAATATTTCCAGTTTCTCCAATGTAATTCAAGTGCATTGACCAAAACATCTTTCCAAGTCAAACCATGAATTTGCACACTTATATCAACAATGTATAAATTATCCTTTCATACTCTTGAATCACATGGAACAAACCTGTCTCCTCCATGTGCTTAGCCATTGCTGGTCCACCAGCATCAATGACTGTGACAGGAGTTGTAGAAACGGTATAAATGCTTGCAGTGGGACGGACAGATACAGGCCATGCAGTCCTTGTTGGAGTAGGTAATGAGGTGTCCATGCTTGTTAGGGCAACAGAGGAGGTTACAAGGGATGTGGGTGTTGTGGAAATAGGGATGGTGGTATTGGCCTGTGGGGTAGATGCAGGGCACTGGGATACATTACCCACAGAAGACCTGGTGCAGCCATTCAACAGCCAGTCTTGTCTCAACCTATCCACTCCATCTGAACACCGACCAGCTTGCTCACACCAATAGCACTGCATCAAACCAACCAAACACTCAAATAAATTAACAACTGGCTGAACTTAAGCTACATGTTCAAGTCACATTATGAAATCTTGCACCATGTCATCAAAATATTTTGACCAATCATGAGCCAATGAGATTGTCTTTAACCCTTCAAAGGGGTAATTTAAAAGAACAAAGCATTCTGTGCTGTGGTAACATCAGATGTGATGGTGAAGTTAAAGATGCTCAAAAGGTTAACCTTCATAAAAGGAACACATACGGTAAAAGTGGAGTTTGCAGGCAAACTAGTCAGGCAGGAGTTGCAGTCATTGAAGGTGGGACATGTATCCAAGGCTTTTAGGTAAATGGCTGACCACTGACCAGTCTTCTGCTTGTCCTTCAACTCTAAGCGGTGGTACTCGTAGATGGTCTTTCGGCGGATAACTACACCAGAAGTGGACATTATATACAGACACATAATTGAATTCAACATTCACAAATGCACAGGAGGAGCCACCAAGAAACAGATTATACCAATACTGCTATGCCTTTTACAAAGTATGAGAAAAACATACACAATCTGAGTAGGCTTCAGCCTCTCCAAGGCTTTTGGCATGCTTCTCACATATTTCACAGATTTTAGGAATTGTTAGCATTAAAATACCATTACCCCTTTAAGTAGTGTGGTCACATATATGCATTTCTAAAGGGCTGTGACTTTGAACTGTTGTTGCACAAAATTGTCTTCTGTTTCTGATGTCTAATACTACTGTCCCATATATGCCACTGTAATATAAATTTTAGTATACCGGGTGCAACAGCCTACTTGGGACAAAATCATGAGCAAACTTTAAATTTCCTGAATTTTGTATTTGCTAAATTCTTGGCTTCAAGGCTTGTATTGATTAAAGTCATATTAAGTGCAGTTTATTTAACACTATCAGCATACACATATTTTCCACACACACTGTGCAAAAGTAAAAAACTGTAGCACTATTGCACTTTTTTATCAAAAGTGGAGTAAAGTTTAAGCAAAGTCCGAGCTGCACTTGTTAAACTGAAACATGCAAATGGTAGTGCAAATCATTGACTTTCAACGTCACTATTACTCTTTGCTGCTTCAACTGTATTGCTAGTTCCAACAGCAAAGCTTCATATGACTGTAACTGTGACACATGACAGGTCCACAACACCTTGCGAGCTGAGTCTCTCGCTGTCGTGGAGTCACCAGCTGCCTCACAGGAAGTGCGTAGGACTTCAGGTCCAAATCACAAGCCGTATGCCTCAAAGTGATGTCAGACACATCAAATTCTTTGGCCAGCTGCCTGTGACTCTTGCGCTGATTCTCAGCAACCGCTGCTGCCACTTCGGTCATGAACTCTTCGGTTCGCTTCAGATTGGGTGGCGCTCTTCCTTTTCTCCGAGTCTCTTGATCGTCTCCAGCCTCCATGACGTGGTAAACAGTGGAGAGAGACACACCGAATGCCTCAGTGACGTCCTTAGCTGGTATTCCATTGTCTACTGCTCGCTTAATGAACCTCTGTCTTCTTGTCCTCAATCTGATCTTCATGTCCTCACTGAGATCTGGGCCAGGCATGTCAGAAAATCTGCAGGTGGCTTGCTAGGAATTACCTTCTGCACGCAGAGTGATATTTATGAGCAAAATTGAACAGTTCGGTCCATCCGAAGCTATGGGTATTTAACATTTAAATAGCTGGGTTATTTAGTGGAGACCTAGGCCACTGTCTGTGACAATTTTCAAATAGTTATTGCTACCCGAAAGCTCAAAATTTGTGGTAAAGAATTTGTCCCAAGTAGGCTGTCACATCCAGTACATGCTGCCACCTGTCTGCAGTAATTTAAAACTTTTTCTGTAATTTCCCAAAGCATATTTTTTTTACCAATAGGCATTGCTCCAAAATATTTCCCATAAGTATGGCAGATGAAAATGAAGCTGGTCCTTTCATGCTATGATTATGCCCTAAAAGAAAGGGGGTTTTGACACTCAGTGATGCAGAAGATATATTTTTGAATGAAGAATCAGAAGAACTGGTTTGCTGACGGTTAATTTTTTGAATAAACAAGAATGTTACATTTTTATGTTTTATTATATAGAATACACACTTTTCAAAAAACTAACTCGGTCTGTGGGTTCAGATAATGACCACAAAAAACAGTACCTAAATGGTTAAGGGAATATTTATTTTGCAAAGTAAATTGGACATCTATTGCAAAATAGTCCATTCATCAACTAGTAGCTAATAACCTGGAACTAAAGGAACTTACCATCTATGTGCTCAAAAGGTTTTTGACCTTCTCTTATTTGCTATTTGTGATACTGATGCTCCACTACCATGAATGAGGAAAAAGTGATGCTTTTGTCAGTTATGCATAACATCCCCTGAAGGGGGGAACCTCATGTTTAGCTTCATAAAAAATTAACCTGTTAATACTCCATTATGTTAAGAGTGACAATAGTATTCATGACAAACAGCAACCACACCATTCATATGTGAGAATCATTATTATTCTAACATGCAATACATATTCCCTTTGCATGCCAAACTTAATCCAAACACAGATGAGGACAGATCAAGGCCATGCTGATGAAAGGGTCTATAACACATCAACAACTGATAAAGCATAACAGATAAAAGCACCTCTTTCATTATCACACCAATGAAAGCTCTTCCAAATTACTAATTGATGGAGAAAAGTTCAGCCATCATGTTTCACCCAGGGTGAAGTAGAAGATAAAAGAAAATGAAATGAGCCAATTTTATGGTTTGCAAGTAACTGAGAAATTAAGTTGAAATCATAATACCACAAAAGGGCTTTGTGTATATATGCATGAACTCATTGCAGAGAGAATTTTATGCAAGTTTTATGATGCACAGAGGAGATAGAGGAATAATGGGGTTGAACTTTCCAAAATGTTTTTAAGTTTTAAACTTTTAAAATTCATTTTTAAACCAAACATACATTAGTTTTGGTGAGTTGTAGGCCATTTTTTTACCTAGCAGCCAAATTTCTAAGACCTCAATCTTAGACCTTATGAGAAGTAAAAGAGATAGAAGTAGAAGTAGAAGATGTTCATTGTTTGCTATTCTCACTATGGTCTTTATGTCTGCCAAATTTGATTAAATTAAGAAGCAATCGAGTGCTATATCTTTAACATTTTTCACACATTTTTCATTTTTCACAAAAGGGTCATTCCACCTCCAGTGGAATGACCCTTTAGTGATTTCCTTTACATGCAACCAGAAACTTTTGTAACAGATCATTCCTTGTGGGTTTTTAAGTAAACCTAGGGCAAGTTAAATAATATTATTGGATAACTCACAGAAAACACGACGCTCAATGTTGTATGCATCAGCCAAGCCAATTTTGACGGGATGTGCCTTGGACTTGATGTCTGTGACATTGATAGGGAGGTCACGATATGCAAAGATGATGTCTCCATTATTCTTCAATGTGGCCTGGAAGGTGAAATTCCCCAACTCTAGAAAGTCTGCTAGAACGACATTCTCCCACTGCACTGTGAAGGATGTCTCTGTGGGATAAGTTGAACAAAATGCAATGAGGCATTCAAACTCAGTAAAGTGATTAGTCATCTGAAACAACTCCATGATCATTTAAAATTAGGTGCATGTGCCAAGATGTGACATAGGCCAACATGTATGGTTCCTTTTTTCAATTTGATTAAGCACAACTATAAAAATAATAAGAAAGGAGGTGCAACTCTGAATTTGTGGCATGGCAGAAAAAAGAAAGAAGAAAGCAAATAAAACAGCACCATTTATCAAGTAGGGAGACTACAATATGGTATTTATAGAAATTGAATGCAATAGAAGAAAATTGCTATTACAATTGCTCATTGACTCAATTATGCAATTCAAAAGTTTAGTTCATGTCATTTTACTTGAATTGCAAGCTCAACAAACAAAAGGCCAACGCACAAGCTAAGAACACAAGGGTAAATAAAATACCATGAAAAACTCAGAAATAGTGTCTAATCTGGCCTAGATTGTTAATATTGATTAAACAAGTTTTAAGGCATTTCTTTGCTGTTTGCCACTCTGGTTGTTCCCTGAGCTCTGCTATTTCAATCTAATTCATCTTTATTTCCTTGAAAATAAAAACATGAAAATAACTTGACCACAAATTTGGTCAAGGAAACAAAAGATACAAGGCGGTGCAAAGTAGGTATACAGTTAGCTGTTTATTTCTTATTACATACTATTACTTCTTGTTAATTACTTTTCCAGTACATCTTAAACAGCCATTTTTGTTGCTCAAAAGTCAGGTTCCCTGCCATTATCCTCTACCTGTAAATATAAAAATAAAATAAAATTACTACTGCATGCCTCCTTTTGCCTCACCCTATATATCTTATATAACTGTTAGAACATGCTACAGGGTTTTTCACTTGAATCAGATAATTTTTCCTCTGATTCAGCCACCTGTGCAGGGATGTTCCTCAAGCACAAGTGTCTGAATCTAGTGTAAAATGGTCTAAATTAAGTGAAAAAACTTTAGAAAGATTCACTATGTGATAGGTGAACTTCAATATAGTGAACTTCAATACAGGAAGTTCCTCAATTACCATTGGACAAATATTTAATGGTAGAATCATTGCTGTAATTTGTGGCAAAGTTCCCCATGAGTGGAGCAATGTATTGAGTGGCTGCAATCCAGGAATGGATGAAAGTTCCCATGTAGATGAACCCTCCAGTTGCAAGGGTCACATTCCTTATCATGTGTCCATAGAATGGGAAATCAAAGGGCAGCTGAATTGCCTGTAGAAAAAATAGTAAAGAAAATTTCCTTCAGACTGCAGGATGCAGGAATATGATGAGAGAAGCAGAGATGAGCAGATGAGACTCACAGCAGCCCTTCGGTGTGAATCAGAGAGGAGATCGTGCACTGTAGCATTCTCAGCCTTTTCAAAATCCACCCAAAGATGCTGGCCCGTGCCAGGTGAGTAAATCATACTCTGGTAGTATTTGTGATCATCCTACAACAATTCATATTCAATCCCAGTTACCAAAATTATATGAATATATATAAATTCACATAACAGTATCATTTGGTATCTATTTAAAAAAAAAGCAACTTTTTCACAAAACTTTTAAATAGGCAGGCTTGTGGGCTACTTAATTAGCTCATCAAATTTCTAAAGGTCAAAACGTTTCAATGAAAATATATTCTAAAAGAGAAAATGAGTGCAATATGGATATCATTTTATCCTGAATTCAATGACTTCATCTTCAGTTTGTTTTTCCATAGTTTCACCACATATTGATCCCCCATCCTGAAATTCTTCTAAGCATGATTAAAATTCAATTATATATTTATATGATAAATGGGAAGCCAAAATTTAAATATATTTAAGACTTTTGTGGGCAGTGGGAAGTACTCTCACCAGAAAAGCATTCACCATCTCAGTGCCATGGGAAGGTTTCCTCCCACTATACCAGGTTAGGCAACAACAAAAAAACCACAACGCTCTTTGAGACTCCTTGTAGCTTGTAGTTAAACAGCAGATGGCAAAGCAAAAAATTTTTTGCAATGACTCCTATGTGTATATTTTTGCACAAGGGAAACACAAGTAGGAGAGCAGTTGGTACGCATCCAGCGAACTGAAGAGATACGCCTATTGCTTAAAGAATAATTCAAAAAGTGCTTTAGAGCACCAAGGGCGATGTAGGAATCATGTTAACATGGAGCTCACCTGTTCCATTTGGGCATTTCCTGGCACATTCTCTCCATCAACCTCAAAAGTTTCATTGGAACTCACTGACATGTTCTTGAGTAGTTCATCTCCCTCAATAACATGTTCAACAAAGTCCAAGAGGTCATTATCATCTGTAACAGCTGCCTTGCTTGTTGTTGTTGAGACCTCCGTATAAGGCACAGTCAAGGAGGTTGAATCATTGGATGCTGACTTGGGTGGTGTGAAAGTTTTCTTGGCAATGGGGATGGCTTTCTTTGGCTGAGTGACATTCTTCGCATCTGCAGTTGGATCTGATGACACCAAGAGTACACCCATCTCCCCTTGTCCTTTCAATCTTGTCGTCTTTGAAGCATTCTTCATGACTGTATAACCAAAACTTCATCATATCATGTGCTTAAAAGAGGGCCTAGTATGCAATTAATGTTTTCTAGCAAAGAAGATTTGTATTTTATTAACCCTTTGTGATCCACTGTCGGACACGAAGTGACAATGTCTGTAGTGTTACAGATAAAATGGATCACAAATTATTAAGGTACATATTCTTGCTAATTAATGAGAAAGGCAAACTCTCTAAGATGCTAAAAGGAAGGGTCCTCATTTGCAGTCCATTACTTTTACACTATATACATCCAGAGATATTGGTGCATATTCCAAAAATTATGCCGACCAGAATACAGGTATGGGACTTACTCTCATTGCTTATTGTACAGTGAGTCAGAATAGCAGACCCATTGAATATGATTAATTTATTTGAAGGTTATAACAATGCATCAATGTTACAGCTGATAAGAGGAGGCAACAAAGATTTTATCGGCCATCACAGTTGCCTCTGCCAACCCTCACACCAATCCTTTCCCTCCCTCCCCCCTCTCATCACTTACTTCATGCTGAATTCAAGGATGGTTCAGAAAATGCAGTTTTTGGCAATTATTTTCATTACTAGTGACAAACAGATAGAGCTTAAATCATAAGAAGGTGAACTTCACTTTCTGCCATGCTCATTGCCCAAAAACTGACTGACTTAACACCATTTTCAAGCCATGAAGGTATGTACCAGCAACATTATTTCTGATGTGATCATCATATTCCCAATTTAAATTTTCCTTGTTTTCTAGCTAGATGTTCATGATCTGTGGTTTCCTTTTTTTTTTTTTTTACAAACTGCGTTTCGTTCACAAATCACTGTTCTTAAACAGAACTAGGCTATGAGGAAATTATTGAAGGGAAGAGATATGGATAAGCATAGGGTAGACTACCAGCAGCTAATGAAGCAATTCCAAATCGTCTGTAAGTAGAACCAACACTTAGGCACGGACGAAAGCTAGAGCGAAGCCTATGTTCGTGGCTTAGGCCAAACCTACCTGGGACAGGATTTTCCTGACATAGAGCGTGCTGACAGAAGAGGAGGAGGAAGCAAACAAAATATGAGGCTGACATGGCAAAAGTCTGCGAAATATGTTGTCTGTGCCTACGATGGAGAAGAACGTCAAGTTTCTCCCTCTTTACTGTTTCGCCTCAACGTCGCTTGAGGTCTTGAACGTGATTCACGGTGACGCATCAACAGATAGGGGCCCACTAGGGTGAGGCCATTCGTGAACACGGATGTCACATCCGCTGCATGCATTCTGTGTTAATATTCTAGAACGTCATACGGTGATTTTTCAAGGGCAATTTTGAAAAATGGCAAGTTCGATTCTTTCAATGAAAGATTTTTTTGGAAAGATAGACCAAGGTTGTGAATAACTCTAAACATTCTTTCTTCTGTGCCTAATTAAAGTACTCAGAAACTTTCTCGAGAACATCATAGAACACAGCCGTTTCGGAATATATATAGTATGCATAATTATAAAGGACATCCAAGTGATTCATGTGGAAATGTCATTCGTGCACATACTACCAAAGATATGCCGCAAGTTTATTTACGTCAGCATCATCTCCCCATATAAATGGTGAATGTTACTGTACTACACTCGCTGGGTAGGCGTAAAATTAAATTCAGTTTTCTGATCAGCAATTCCAACTGAATCTCGAGCAAACTTTGGGCTGGGGCCAGAGAGACTCAGTCTCTTAAGGCTACCAAAGTTTCACACTAAATCGCATACGCACAAGAACAGATAAGTATACATGTAATTTTTTCCCCACGACTTGTCGTGGCCACTTGTCGTGGGCCAATGTGCAAACCGAACGAGCCCATTCCTTGTCCCTTGCAGAACTCACTCCCGATACATCTCGACAGGTAGAGTGGAGATCCCCTTCGTGCGAATTTTGGTTAAGTGAAATGTGTATTTCGGGAAAGGTCAATTCCCACAGACATCCCCTTCACAGTTACATTCGTCAGTCCTTAGAGAGATGAAGGGAGAAAGACAATAGACAGGAGCCGAGGGCCGAGGGAAAAGTCAGTTGCGAGACGTGAGGACAGTGATCCCCCTTTTTCTTTACAAATGCTGCCCGACACAGTTCTGCCTCAGCGGGCTTTCTATGAAGTACACCAGGGAGGGGAAACACTTCTTACAGGAAACGTCATTTCCACTTTATTGTTGGGAGCGAATTTACCGGAATTCGACCCCTAGCTTCAACCTTCGCAGGAGGGAAAGAAAGTCTTCTTCGGCAAAATTATTTACAGGAAGTGGATGAAAGTGTCGAATCAAAACAAAAAAAAAGAGATGAGATCCAGATGGACTTCACACGATCTTCGTATAGCTTTATTTTGCTCGTGATAAATTCTTGGTACAGAAAGCCTCAAAAACTTGGGATCTGCAGAGAATGGACGGAGACGAAGAAAGCATCACATGCACAATGAAGCAGCTCGGCAAGATGTTTTCTGACGAATTTGGCATCGTGCCGGTAGGATTGCACAAAAAACAAACTCCTTCCTCTCTAGGAGTACTGCCGAAGTGAATCTTCCAATTTCTCGGCTACCTGCGGGGTGAATTTCAGGGAATTAAGTCACGCCCTGTTCCGCTGCGAAGTTCCAGGAAATCTTTGTGACAGAAGTTCATCGCTACACGATCGTGTGACGTAATTTATTTATGGCATTCTATAGATTCTACGGATTCCCAAAGGACCCAAGCCTGAAAATCAGAGGTGAAGCATGAAATAGCAAAAGAAACGAAGAAGAGAGAACCCACCTGGGTGTAGAAAGCGATCTGCTCGCTGAGAAGAGTCTTGACGAAAATGTAGAGGTCCGTGTGAAGCAATTGACGGAAGTGGGCCATCTCGGCGAGAACGGCATAGGAGACGATCTCCTCCCGCCGAAGGACTCCATCCACGTTCTCAGGTTCGCACTTACCCTCTGCTCTCAGCCTCTCGTACTCCTTCCTCTTTGCAACAGCCCCCTGCATGTGCAGTCACGGCGAGCATTAACGTATTCGAGGCGGAAACAAGAAGCAGGCGCATCAAATTTCATCATACATTGCAGCACGCGAATAAAAAGAACTCATGTTTATTCCAGACCGTCGTGTGAGCAACATTGCGGTGAGCCATGCATCGATACTGTCTGAGCCCTATTCGATCCGAACGAATGAGGAATACCTTGTGAAGACGAAAGATGTGACGAAAGGGAGACAGCATGGAGAGATACTCCAGAATCTTCTCCCGCATCAGCTCCCAGTCCGTCTTCGGCTGATTTTCGCACAAGGTGGCAAGTCGGCAATAAGACTTCCCCATGAACGTGAGTGCATTCTTGACGTCGTCGAGACCTGCCGACACACCATGACGACCCCTGCATGGTCGGTGAGAAAAAAATCTCGACGGACGGGCAGAAGAGCTTACAACTGGCCGCATCCGCGTCTAAAGCCACCCGAAGGTGTTGAATGGCGTTGGCGACTCGGAGATGGTCCAGCCAATAGTAACATTTGATTTTTTCGATCCGATCGATGGCCATCGTCTGCAGATTTCCCAAACTCACCTCCAGGCTGTGCAAAGACTTTTGAAAACCTTCGATCTGGTGTTCCCTAGGAACGAAAAAGGAAAACCGATGGATTTACGATTCGTCTCGGCAACGCGATAACAATTCTGAGGAAGACATACACGCTCTCGAGACAGAGGCGAGTTTCGGGAGCATCGATGGCGAGAAAGAACTTGGCTCCGATGAACCGATCCCATTCGGCCATCCGTTTCCCGCGTGCCCAGTCCCTCTCGTCGTTGCAGGTGATGAAATGCTTCCATATGAGGGAGCGGGCGAGGACGGGATGCTCCCCGACCCGCTGCAACCACGACTCCAGCCTCCGACGAAGAGTTTCTGTCGACTCTGGCTCCCCGTGATCTGGAAGAGAAAACGCGGGAATTCGCATTCCCACGAAACGGAACGATCTCGTCGAAGACGACGCGAAGAAGCGGCAGCGATTCGTCCTCACCTGGATTCGGTTTGTCGGGCAGAGGCGGAATGGAAACGAACGGGTATTTCGCCTCCAGTCTCTCGCGGAGCCAGTCGAAGTGTTCGTATCGCCGAGAAACGGGAACGATGGAGAACTGAGAAGAAAGCCTACCAGAAACGGAAAAACGGGATCCGGACGCAACCCCGGCTTCGGAAACGGAACACTCACCGAATGGGCGATGTGATACGACGGCCATTTCTTGAGAACCCTCAATTGCCAGTCCTTCTTCGGCTGGGTCACCGAGTACGCATGGACCTGAGGCAGGGGCTGCCACTTCACCTCCTCGCCCGACCCCTTCTGGTTTTCGTCGACGGGTGGAGGTTTAACGAGACCGACGGCGACGTCGAGAGGGGCAGCGGCAACACTCACGACGATGGTGATGCGTTCTTCGTCGGAGATGTTGACTCTGGCATCCTCGAGGACGCAGTCTTCGCCTCCGAACTCCACGTACGTCGAGAAGTCGTTGAAGATCTCGGGAATCTTTCCCTTCCCGACTCCGATTCTCGCTGCAGTGAAAAAAAAAAACAGGACTCCAGCGCTCATAAGTTTCACGTGCACGCCGAACAGAAGTTCGAAATCGACTTGGCGTCGGATGAAGGAAAATAAAGCAAACGGCTGCATGGGTCGGATCGAAACGATCGAATGATCTGAAGCTACGCACAAAGTAGTTGAATTCTCTTCTGAAGTCATTATTCGAAAATAACTAAAAAGAATAGTAATTTTATGACTCATCTTTCGCGGTTCATATCTACAGGTCGCACTGAAAGTCCCAATATCGGAGGCAATTCGACTAAAGCCACAAGAAATTCATGGCAACTACAGTTTGTACTGCTAAAAAAAAGTCAGTTTCCATCTAACTATCGCAATTGTTATTTTCCCTCGATTAATATTTGGCATCGGACCGAGTTCCGATGGAGCAGTTCTGCGGCACGAGAACATCGCAAGTCTCCACCACGTTTTTCGCTCATTAGAGTCATTTACAGATTCTGTCAGACTCCGTAAAAAATTTTTAAAAAGCCAACATTTTGGGTAGGCGAAAACGAAAATCGGACGAGACCCTTTCCTTGGCCACGCCGCACGAAGGGGGCACGAAGGCGGCACGAGGGCGGCACGAGGGTAAAGAGAGAAGACGGAAGAGAATGCAGGAACCTTCTTTGAGTTCGGGATCTCCGGTCGGGACGATCTCGAGAAGAGCGAAGTTCTTCTTCAATCCCCGGATTCCTTCTGGACCTGCGACCGATATCATGCCAACATCGTGATACTCGTCATCGAAGAGACCATCCACATTTGAATGCCTTTCACTGCGTTTCGTCTCGAAGTCCCAAAACTCGACTCGGACTCCATAGCGACGCACAAACTCCATGGCGGTAAGGAAATCCCAGTCGAATGCATTTTATTTGCGTGGCATCTGCGTTCCAACGGCGTCACCAACCCCCC